CATACGACAGAATGTGCTTGGACTTAGGGTCGTCTACACTTGCATGCTTCTGTGCATCTAGGAGAAGCTGTTCTTGGTCTGTTTCACATGGAGCAGGTGACCTTATATGGAAAGGAGGCATGGTCAGATCAGGGGTGGAAACATTTGACGACCTACTGTTTTTAAAACAGTTGATGTCAAGTTTGAGCTCAGCAAGCTTGTTGTTGATAGAGTCGAGAGTTTTGAGATGGCTATCATTGTCTTTGAGGTTCTTGATGGACATCTGGATGGCTTCTAGAGAATGGTGTATAGAGCTACCATCAGATGTAGTGTGACCCGTTGGCATGCTCATGCTGCAGGGAGCTGACAAGTAGGAAGGGGACTTGACTTCGTTGTCAACTCTCTGTCCATTCACCACAGCGCAAACACTTTCAGCAAGACCTAGCAGGGATAGGAGACCTTCTGCTAGGGTGAGCTTGTTCAGAGATGAACAGCTCTTGATCATGTGTGGAGTAATGATTGCAAACTTATTTATTTCAAGTTTTAAGATACTGCAAATGTTAATCTTGATTAAGTCTACCTCGGAGCGTAGGTTCTGTGCATGGGTTAACAGATAGGTGTCGAGGGGAGCAGATCTATTTGAGAAGAAACTAAGGAGACTGCTGACATTTTTGTCTTCTTCTGAGTCCTGATTTTCTGAATGAATTATTTTATCGACATCTCGAAGCATTTCGTCAATATCATCAATGACTGAAGCTGAGGGAGTGGTGGGTGTATCCTGATCGGGAACCGTAGTGGACGAAGTCTGGTCTGCAGCAGGTTGAGGTTTCTCACACTTTTCTGTTTGAGTGTCAGTGGGGGTTTCCATCATGGTGAAGAAGCAATGGGGGTACCAGGCAGACCAGGGGGCACCTTCACGTCCAACCAGCACACTCACTGAAAAGAAGGAAGAGCAGAAAGTAGTTTGAAATGTTCTGTTGTGGAAAACAATGAAAGTGTAAACTGGATTAGTCAAAATGATTCAAAAGATTGAAAAATTGAACAGACTGACGGACTACGACACATGGGACAAGAGAGTGAGTGAGAGACTCACCTCCGTCTTTCTTTACTGGAACTAGAGGAGTCCCCCACGGGCTATCATCTACTTTGGACAGGATACCGCTTTCAACCATTGAGTTAAGTTCATCCTCAACTTTGTGTCTCAAGGCATACGGCAGGTTTCTAGCCTTCAACATTATAGGCTTGGAGTCGTCTCGCAGGACCAAACTCGCCTCCACATCCTTCACTAGTCCAAGTCCCGATTTGAACACATCACTCAGTTTGAGCTCCTCCAAACTTCTGCACTGATCCACTCTGGTACAGTCATCATTGAGTTTTAAATCATTCTTCACGTTGGTCCCATCAGTTTGCATCATTGTTCCCCCTCTACCGTCGCATCCTGCACATTTCTCACAGTTGTTCACCTGCTGAGAATCTTCAGAACGCTGGGTTGTCTCAATTGCCAAACGGTTGACCAACCTGGTACTTAGCAGCTTGTCTAGCCAGTTCTCACCACAGAACTTAGTTATCCAGGGTCTCCCTAACAAAGTTGGGAAATCCTCGGCTACATACAAGTGCAAGTCCGGAACTTTTTTACCATTCATTGTCACATCCACCACTGCATAGCCATCCACGATCACCTGCTGTCCACTAGCCACTCTCAGTGTTTTCCTGCTGGGTTGTAATGTTAAACTTGACAAACCACAGGACACTAAGACACGTTTACTGACAACAGATGCCGCCGAACCAGAATCAAATTCCATATTTAAGATTTTACCGTTAATCAATACATCAACTGTCGGTTTACCTTCCAACTGGTTTACAACATAAATCAATTTATCGGAATTAGAATTAGATTCAGCACTATTCAATTTAAACTTGGAATCAGCAATATTTTCATGCAACCGAGAAATCGTACAAATCCCCAAAGAATTTACAATTATGGAACAATTATCATGCAACTGTGATCGCTCATTAACTTCTATGAAGTTACACTGAAGCCCATAAAACTCCTCGTCGAGAATGCTGTTGCAGTTGTCGTCAAACTCTTGTAGTTCTGCATCGCTGTCTACATTGTTGACATCTCGCTTGTTCCAATTATTCCTACACTTGCTACTGATGTGCCCAAGTCCCGAACATTTGTAACATCTCACCTCACATTTATCAGCCTCATGACCCCTTAAACCACACTTCTTACACTTGGTTTTTGATTTGTTGTTTGAGTCCCGATTTTCCGGCTGATATTGTTTTTTGTCCATTTGAGATGACTCCCCCTTCTTCAGATAAGGGTTATTTACTGTTCTCTTGAATGTTGGATGTTTACTATACTTAACACTGTTCACTGTGGCAGACATACTACCATGCATTCCTTGAGCCTCTTTCTGAGCTTGCTCTCTGTTGAGCGCTTCTCTTATGGCTGTTTCCAGATCCAAATCTGTTTTGACTAACAGTTCCGATACCAGTTTCTCGTCCTTCAGACCGCACAGAATCTGATCTAGCAAAGCTTCGTTATAGTTTGTGCCAAATTCACACTCATTTGCCAGTGACCTTAATCTTGATATAAAGCTGGCTCCAGACTCATCTGACTGCTGACGTCCACTCCTAAATTTGTGCCTTTGAGCGAATTTAGTAGGTGCCGGTGCCAGGTGGTCCAATAACAACTTCCTCAGTCTAGGGTGGTTTGAGTCAGCTACATTCTCCGGCGCACACAAAGCTTTTAAAAGCTTGAATATTTCAGCATCACATTTAGATATGAACACCGCTACATTCTTTTTTATGATCAAGGTTCGCTCTGCTGCGTTACTGCTGTCTTCTGCTAGGTCCGGCACTGTCCCCATCCAAGAATTGGCCAGGGCGTGAAAATCAAACCTTTCTAACCAACTTTTCACGTCCGCCATTAGTGACAGGTTCTCCAACTTGTTTGCCATCTCGTCGCCAGTTGATATAACAAGGAACAGTCTATTTGGAACTAGCCATAAGAGGCTAGGGAAGTTCATTGATTAGTAAATATAACAATATCAATTATAGTAATACAATATATAACACCTGATTTGATTTGAAACTTTTACAAAATAGCAAGTATACAAATGTACAGCAATTCGAACAAACATATAAAATGGGCCGAAATGTATAAATGCTAAAAAGCGTGGGTCAGTGAAACAAGTACAGAGGACAACTTTCAGAACAGGAGTTTTTTGGCCGCCCAAAGTCTCAATAACATCACCTCCACCTAGTAATGAATTATGAAACGTGAAAAGTGTGAAACAATCAAATAATAATGTATTTATATAATATAATTGTCTCTCAAATACAGATAACGTCCGTAAACTCTTAAAATACCCCTACAAGTACATATTATACTGATCGGTGTCCGAGAAACATGAATTACGTCATCATGGTGCCTTCTTAACCCGGCTACAGACCTTCCCGTTACGGATGTAGTGGTCGAGATGAGTCTGTTCAGCCCTCTTCTTCTTCAGGTCAGTTACCACGTTCTTCCTTGCTGCACGCTCTTCACTGGATCTATCAGGACAGATCCATACATCTTTGTGTGCATCAGCCATCCTCAGTCTCCCTGTTTTCATCAGAATCTGATGAACTGCTGTTGAGCTTGGGACGGTGATCTTGACTGGTCGGATAGCCGTGATACCTGGCCTCTTCCAGCCGACTCTAGTCGCTTCAAAATGAGGTTTCTCCCCGATCTCCTCCAATACTGCGGTTACCAGAGCTGGAAGCTGTTCTCCATCCTCTTCTTTCAGTCCAAACACTATCAGATTCTTGCTCCTGTCCTCCTCTGCAGCCACACTCTTTATTACATTCTTCAGAATTTTACTGTTGCAGACGGCGCCATTTGTGCTGTTCTTTTGTACAGCGGCACTGTAGCTCTTAATCCCTGTCTCCACCGTTGTTTGTACTGTCTCTTCAACTGACGTCTTAAACAACTGTAGTTGTTCGTCCTTCTGCACTAGCAACTGGTCCTGCAACCTGACCATCTTTTCCTTGTCTGCTAGTGCTTCCGTCTTGAGGCACTCAACGATTTCCATCATAGCGCTCATCTGACTACTCTGCCGACGTACGAGGTCTGCTGCTTGCATAACCCAGTTTGCCATATACCTTTTATAGATAGACGGAGACATGAGTATTTCTTGGTCCATATCTCCACGAATTTCGAAGTTTTCTAATTTCAGTTCTCTTGCCATCGAAGTGAACCATCTATCAGCACAGCCCTCTACATCTTCCTTTTCTTCATAGTTGAAATCCTTGAGTTTCTTCTGAGATCGGGTCAACTGTAAATCACCCTCCGTGGTGTACATTGTATAGTAATGTACAAGTATACACACGCAAAGGCTTACTACGCGGTAGCAGCAAACTGAACTTATCGCAAAGTTACAAAAGATAAGGGAGCTCGATAATTGCAACGTAAGCTACACACACTACACACAATGAATTTTACTTGGGGATCCAATGCTTTGTGTTTATAGACACACCGATTGAAGATAATATTAATATGACTGCGAAGCTTAAGTATTACCCTGAAGCAATTATTACTTCGAAGAAATTTGCACAAGTTCTTTAAAACAATCTTTACCAAATTATGGCAACATTTAAAACGAACTTCGGTTTTCAGCATAAACATAGTTTTTCAGCAAAATATTGTAGGTTCCTAGCAAGTTCTCAACTTTCTGGAGATGGGAATTTATGACTAAATGTAAGAACTATAAATAAACTTGCTATTTATCTAGTAGTATAATATACATCCCAATTCCATTCATATTTTCCATACTGATCTCATATAGCTAGAATAAAAGGTAAATATTAAAACGAATTAACTCTAGCACTTAGCAACATCCTGGATGAGTTTATAACAGAAAACGCTGGCAAGCTTAATGTTAAAGCACGTTGGTGTTATTTTCATAATAATCCCTCGTGCTCCGCAAGTAAGTGCGTGCCGGCGTTATGTGTGCTATAGAATACAGTGTCATTCAAGTGCAACAAAAACATGACTTTATCCGCTCCATTTCGACACTCATAGCCCGTTCTTCTTTGATTGTTTCAGTGTCCCATTCAACCTTAATATACAACCTTTGTCTATTGATTTCATATTGAGCATTGTCTGTAATGAATTTGTACTCAATGGACAGTTTGGCAATACACATATTAAGTACCACCAAAGAGAAGATCGACATTGCTACTGGATAGAAGAATGACAAAAAAATTGAATGTTCACGTTCAAAGTCATAATCATGGAAGTTGTCCAAGGTGAGTAATTTGAAAATGTGTCCTATCACAAAAAGAATCGTCTGTCCCACGTTGGTATTATTGTCACCCACATATACAGTCATATTTTGCATAAATGAGATTTTGACCAGAATCAAGATGAAGGGAATGGCTATGATAAATGCCACCAACATGATCTCAATAATTGCAAACATGCACCTGAGAACGACCAAACCGTAAACTACCAGACAATCAGGCATGATAGTCAACCAAAGTAACTTTCGATACAACTCCCACCAAATTAGCACCAGTGCAGCACTGAGAAGGTAATCTCGTGTATTTATTTCTCCTTTCTCCACTTCATTAGGCATGAATTGGCAGGCTAAAACAGTCACCTTTCCAAGAAGGCAAATCACTAGTTCGATTGAGTGAAGAATGGCTTTTTTAACCATGACCCTTTGCATGCTTTGCGCTTGTTTTATTGTCATTGCCTTATCAGCTGATATATCTGGATGGTATGGCGTTGATTTGTATCCTGATAGACTTTGCAAATCATCTCGTTGCACTTTAATCATTTTAACTGAATGAACCATTTCTTTTGCCTGATAAAAGTCAATAACGATCAAGACTATAGTCAAAAGAATTGCTATTCTGTACAGAATCTGTGATATTTCTATAGAGCCGTCAATTTCAAAGTAGCCATTAGCTTCATGTTCATTTGTCATACACAACCAGTTGACACAAACTGTCCCCAAGACGTAGCATAGCAGAGTAATCAATTGAAGTTCTAGCGTTTTTCCTTTGTTTATATCACCAATAATGTGCTTTATATATGGATGTAACATGAGTTTATTGTCAACCTTGGTGTTATATAGAATTTGAACATCACTTTTTGTCATAATTGACCGACTTGGATCCTCTTTTTCTTTCTCAAGAGCCCTATGAAATTATTTTAATTATAATTACATTGATAAATGCTGATGTACATTAATTAAGGGAAAGAGACAAATAGTGAGAGCATGAATTAATACATATTCTAGTGCCTACTTTCATTGGCTTTTAGAAAAGAATTTGTGAACTAAATAAAACCTGGTTAATGATTGGCCATGACTTACCAGTCCATTAGACTCATCATTAGATTAGGGCAGCTAGTGGATGCCATACCAAGTGCACTGTATTTAAATGATGTTATCACTTCGGGATCAGCTCCCAGTCCCAGTAAAACTTCGCCAAGCTTGTGTTTTTTATACTGAGCAGCACAAAAGAGAGGTGTTCGTCCATAAACATCTGTCTCATTTATAACAGTCTCGCTGATGTTGTTTACAATGTATTCAATCATTTTAGCCTGCTTTTCAGTGTTCCCTATCCCCAAAACAGCCACGTGAAGAATACTGAATTGGAAGTGATTACAGGGTTCATTGAAGTTGGAATTTCTGTGCACATAAAATGATGCCATTGCTTCGATGTTCCCATATGATGCAGCAGTATGCCAGGGATAAAAGCCATTATCATCTGTATCTGCCTTGAATCCTTGTTGCAGTAATTCCCTAATCGAAACTGCCTCATTTTCTCGAGCCAGCAAATGGTATATTGTCTCTCCATTAGTGTACCTTTGTGGTGTGGAATATGTTTGTAACCATCTCGTAATTTCAGATTTACTCCTCACAGCCACAGACGATTGGGATTTTCTTGATTTTTTGGATGACGAAGTTGCACAAAGCAATTTTGTGGGTCTGTTTTCATTCCACTTATCCTTCATGATTTCTTTTCTGTCAGTGAATATCGTCTGTAAGTTCTGTTCCATCCCTTGAAGTGAAAACAAGGTTTAGAGAGCGCATTTTTGATATACAGTATTTTTCCCAAATTAAAGATTAACTCTTCAATATGTAATTCAAATATAAAATCTCGAGGTACCAATATTATATAATATGAAATGAAACTCATTACAAATCACAAAAAGTAATATTTTGTAAGCTATTTATTTTTACAGCTATTCTACATAAAATAGATGAAGCCAATCGCATTTATCAATGAATCCAATTTATCACAGCTGAAAGCGTATAACTTTAGTGCAAGCTAGTAAATTAGGAATTTACAGTTTGCAACGAATCACTCATGATATTAGAGTACCTTCAAATTGCCGAGATTTTCTTCAAACATTGTTTTTTATTACAGTATGCTTTATTTCTGCAGCATCTTCTGCACTGGTGAACATCCCAAATAAAATGATTGAGAAGATTCGATGTTTCAAGATTTCTGCTTTGGAGTTGTCAACAAAGTCCTCATAAGTCTGACTTGTTTGAGCAATGATGAGGTTCATAATGACAAGGGATAATAGAAAAACTATGCATATGTGGTAAATCAGGAAGAATTCTGGGTGTTTATCGTTGAAGTAGTTCACCTGGTAATCGTCTGTGAGCATGACTTTGAAGATATAGGAGAGACTCCAAGCTATTGCTGGCAAAGTTTCTGTTTCATTTCCATCAGGTCTCTCATATTCAGCAATGTTAGTAAAGTAATGCTTTTCTTTAAAGGTGAATTTTAGAGTTATCAGAAAATAGGGCATGGAAAACATCAGAATTGAAACTAAGCTTACTGCAAAACTGCTTAATGCTTTCTTCATGCTGAGCAATGTTATCATTACTGAATTAGGAATGATCAAGAGATCGTTGCCATCATGAAAAAAGATGTCAAAAAATACAGCTAATGTTGCAACAAATATAATGTAGTGCTTGGAGTTGTTATTCATACCCTCAGTTAAAGAAAGGTATACTACACAGGTTCTTGCAATTGTCCCTGCCACCGTCCAGAACGCCTCTACATACAGTCTATCCATCTTTTTGCGTCTGAGTTGTTTATGGAAGCGGTTGAAAACTGAGTTATCTTGCTTTATTCGTTCATTCGCACACCTTTTGCTGCAGTTAATTAGCTGTCCAGATATATCGTTCTGATGACTTGTGTAACTCAACTTTATAAAAGCAACAAACTTGCCTATTTTATAGCTGGCACAGATTCCAATCCAGACAACAGAAATTATAACAAGCATTATTTCAATCCAATCTCTGTCTTCGCTTTTCAAAAGAGTGATGATCTCGTTTTGCTCAATCATGCATAAAAAAGAGATGGAAAGAATGTCCAATAAAAACCAAATCACAAAGCCAATCAATCCTTTAATATTTTTGAAATAGATACCGTCAATAAGCTTATGTGTTAAAGAATGGACTATTATGTCATTGCATATTGGAGAAACTAGGATTATACTCAGATCTGTTGATTGAGAGAACTTTAGGAAGTGTTCAGTAGGGATCTTCCCCTCATCGTGCCCAAGTATTGTACACTTGTGTAACCTGAAAAGACAGAATATTTGAGTCCATATCTCAGAGGATATTATTACCCCTGATATACTTATCTTGTTGCAAATAATGGTTCCATTTTCGTTGATCGTATAATTGTATAGGGGGGTAGACCAAAAATATCATAAAATTTTGAAGATGGATTTATATATGATATATATTATATAATTTATTATTATATATTTGATTTACTAAAAAAATAAGCTATTTTTGCACTCACTCATCTAGGAAAGGGATGGCCAGCTCTGGCATGAAGTAAGCGGAGAGGCCCATAGGAGTTATCCTCAACTTAGTTTTCTCTGTTTGATCAGCCCCATATTCCAGCAAAACGTACACAGCCTCTCTTTTCTGGTGCTGTATAGCCAGGAATAGTGGGGTTCGACCGTAATAATCTTTTTGATCCACTGCCAAGATCTCATTATCCAATACATATCTAATGAACTGGGGATGGTTTTTCAGAGCAGCCAGGTGGAGGATTGACCACTGTGAGGACTCACACACTGAATATATCACGTGCCCTGCAGCCTCGTGCTCCTCTAAAACTCCAACACTCCCAAAAATAGCTGCTGTATGCCAAGGATACTGTCCAAACTGGTCTGTGCTCTGAGCCACTTCTGCACAGTTACTCACGAGGTATTTAGTGAGCTCAGGTAGGTCCAGTCTTGCTGCAGCATGAGCCAGTGTCTCCTCATACCTCCCCCTCTCCTGAACTCCTTGTGTTTCTGTTTTCTCAAGGTACTCTATAATTCCCTCTCCAAGGATCTTCCTACCCTCCAAATCTGCTGGTTTTTCTGTGCTGGTGATAAAAGTTCCGATGTAGCTCATGTTTTGTATTGACGATACGAGTCCTAACATAGCAAAAGTATTTTTGCTGCCTTCTTTACTGTATGTCCACCTGCTCTTATCAGTGAGGATGTTGTATGCCCTTTCTATCAAGTCTGGCATGATAGATGTTACTCAAACAAAATACCAAAGCAATCAAATAACGAATAAGAATCAAGAATAGTCTATAGCGTAGGTAAGGAAAATTACATGGCCTCGAAAAGGACACTCGTCTACTATCACACCGGTCAGTGTTATCACGTGTATAATTACCTTATATTATTTATTTAGGCACGCTCGTAGGATCGATTAAACTAACAGCTGAGATCTATTATCAAGCCGGGGAAAATAATTATAGTTATCTCAATAGAAAAGTAGATAATAGGAGATAGTTATATAGTATGCACTATACTTATTCCAAACAAGATCACTTGCAATAATTCTGCGACCTAATGGTCCATGATGGTCGTTTGAAGATCGTTTACGTCGTTAAAAGCTACGTTTACTTTGCGTAGTGGCCATCACATGGTTTATCAAAGCTAACGAAAAACATTAGCTCAGTAAGAATATTTCTATGGCAAGGGTAGGTAATTTAACAATTGTTATTATATCGTGTCCTGGTCAGAAACATACATAAGCTTAGAAGAATCTAGATCTTTGGAAAGATCGACTGTTTTTACTCCTAGAACAAGCCTGGTACGTTAACCAATGCTAATACATTTCACTGCTATTATTATAGGTTATGATATGGCTCACGCTAGCTATTCTGATACAGAAGACTACTTCAGTCTGGTTTAAAGATACATTCCTAGTTCCATCATCTACATGTGGGCTCATTCCTCCGGTAAGATTTAATATTATTTTATTAATCTACGACCAATTTGGTCGTAAAACAGAAATTGCCTACTATATTTCGGGTCTAAATCACAATTATTATATTGTATGAGACTTTAATTTAATCACTGTAAGTATTGATCTTGTCATGAAAACAATAATAATAACTGGTATATTAAACTTAACTGTATTGGCAAAAGACGAATATGAGAAACTTACACTAGGAGATCTCAACTCTAAATATAATAATTAGATAGCTTCTTAGTAACTTCACGCTCTGATTACGATTCTGAGCGGCTGTTGTGAGGTTTACAATTGTCTGCTTACAATTCCTATATTTCATGTGATTGCTCTATGGGCTGACAGTATGATGTTACCTCTTAACTTCTCTAGAAGCAGAGTGTAGTTACTAGAATTAACCTGTCACTCGTTAACTAACACCTAACACTAATCAACTGTCGTGATAACACTTTCAGGGCCATCTGTACCCTTTTGGATACCACAAGCAGCCGCTAAGCGCCATGGATATTATTCCTAATAATATTTCAACTGAGGAGTTCGACGAGCTATACATAAAGGTATAATAAACTATACATAAAGGTATAATAAAATATACATAAAGGTATAATAAACTATACATAAAGGTATAATAAACTATACATAACGGTATATATATAATAATAAAGGTATAAATATAATGCTTTATCTACAGCTGTAACGAAGTGGTTTCAAGTACACATTATAATAATCTGTTTTAAGTCGGTTTACACCATAATTCTTTAAAAACGCTTTATGTGGGGGTTCTGAAAGATTGTTTTGACTATTTAATCCCTTTTTTTAATTAAACAAATTTAAATAAATATGCAGCTGATAAATTAGCTACTTTATAAGTAAACTAGAAAACCCGTGGTCACAGGGAGGAAGCTAATAGTATTTTTTGTTCTAGTAAGTTTAAATCATGTCAAAAAATATCCTACACAACCGAAGATACAGCCGATTAAAATGTTGCTCGCACTAAACACAACGTAATATCAACAAAACTGATAAAAATGCCGTTCGCCAATCTTTGCACGTGCACGTGCGTGTAATAACCCTCGTTACCATGCAGTTACTACGCAAGTTCATATTTCTCGTCTGATTTGCACGTGGGCGGTCGTACAGACAGACAGACAACAGAAAGAATTCTCTGAATTATATAAGTAAAAATTTAAGTAAATTTATTAAGTAATCTATCGATATAGTCTGTAGTCGAATAATATCTTGTTGTTTTCAGCCGAAAGGATACCGCCCAGGTGTGTTCAGAGGTATACAAAAGCACACTAACTCAGTGTTAAAATGGAGTGACGAGTATCTAGGTGAGAAGTTTGGGGACTACAAGGTGCTCACGGAAGTGAAACACGAGCAGAGACAAAAGTTCGGTAAGTACAGGAGGTACATGGTACATAACGTAAAGAGATATAACTTGGGGAAATTCGTGGCATGATAAAGGTACAATCTAGACAATGCACGGGAAGAAAGCTGGAATGATGAGCTGCTTTACCCGATGTGACAAAGCACATGCATGTGAATAGAGAACTAAAGATGGTAAAGTCTTTAGGGGGGGGGGGGGGGGGGGCGGGGGTCAGGCCATGATTACGTAATTTTGCTGTCAGGAGGGGGGCGGGGTCTTGATTACGGAGGGGGTAAAAATTGCTAAAATATTGATTACGTAATTATATGTGAACGACCCCTGATTACAAAATCTGATCAGTAACTATTCAAGAAGAGAACAAACTGCCAAGTACATAGTAAACACACAAAATCATCGACAAAATCCAAGCATTAGCGATTCAAGTAATATTTGGTGACAGCCGCCAATTTGACCATCTGTGTGACCGCCCACGTGCTAAACTTCACCCAAGCGCAAGTACAAGCATATTGTAATGCAGAACAACTATTGAACACAGTATATTGTAATGATTTAGCAGAACAACTATTGAACACAGTATATTGTAATGATTTAGCAGAACAACTATTGAACACAGTATATTGTAATGATTTAGCAGAACAACTATTGAACACAGTATATTGTAATGATTTAGCAGAACAACTATTGAACACAGCATATTGTAATGATTTAGCAGAACAACTATTGAACACAGTATATTGTAATGATTTAGCAGAACAACTATTGAACACAGCATATTGTAATGATTTAGCAGAACAACTATTGAACACAGTATATTGTAATGATTTAGCAGAACAACTATTGAACACAGTATATTGTAATGTTTTAGCAGAACAACTATTGAACACAATATATTGTAATGATTTAGCAGAACAACTATTGAACACAGTATATTGTAATGATTTAGCAGAACAACTATTGAACACAGTATATTGTAATGATTTAGCAGAACAACTATTGAACACAGCATATTGTAATGATTTAGCAGAACCACTATTGAACACAGTATATTGTAATGATTTAGCAGAACAACTATTGAACACAGTATATTGTAATGATTTAGCAGAACAACTATTGAACACAGTATATTGTAATGTTTTAGCAGAACAACTATTGGACACAGTATATTGTAATGATTTAGCAGAACAACTATTGAACACAGTATATTGTAATGATTTAGCAGAACAACTATTGAACACAGTATATTGTAATGATTTAGCAGAACAACTATTGAACACAGCATATTGTAATGATTTAGCAGAACAACTATTGAACACAGTATATTGTAATGATTTAGCAGAACAACTATTGAACACAATATATTGTAATGATTTAGCAGAACAACTATTGAACACAGTATATTGTAATGTTTTAGCAGAACAACTATTGAACACAGTATATTGTAATGATTTAGCAGAACAACTATTGAACACAGTATATTGTAATGATTTAGCAGAACAACTATTGAACACAGTATATTGTAATGATTTAGCAGAACAACTATTGAACACAGCATATTGTAATGATTTAGCAGAACAACTATTGAACACAGTATACTTAAAATAACATGCTTGTGTTGGCTGGTTGCAGTACATATTAGTGAGTATGTAGATAGTGAGTATGTGGGTTGATGGCAGCTCGTTCTTTCGACTATCTTGATTAATGAACAATAGTGACAAGGATTAGAGAAATATTTTCAAATTTGATTATAATATTTTAATAGTTTATGATAAAATATAATGGAACAAGGAATGCTGGGCTGAATCAAACAAAGATTTTGAGCTTTGCAACTTTTCAATACGTCTTAAAGTGACCATTGCACCATTTCGTACATCTTTGTCTTGAAAGTCATGTTCAGGACAGCCGCATTTGCTGCATTTGTAAATAGAAATAACTAATATGGAAAATTCGGTTATTACAATTTGCTTTTCACAAATTGTTACTACTACCCTGCCACTGTAATCTGTTTAGGTGTTTTAATTTTAAGTGTTTTAATTTTAAATTTACTTGTCACTCTACTATGATTAATAACGTTTTACTTTATCATTGTATAATTTGGATAATAAAAACTAAGAGGGTAATAAGCTACCAGCTGTGCGTGATGTAGTAATTCTATCATTAACAATAGCAGGTGGTTTCAAGACACTGCCCAGTAACCATAATCATTCATGTGGACAGTAAACACACGTGCTACTCATCCATGTGGGCAGTAAACACACGTGCTACGCCCAGATAGGGGGTGCTACGTTATTAGTACACACACGTGCTAATGATACGGTCACGTGCAAGTAATTAGGAGCGTAGTTTATTGTAATATGACTGTAGTCATGGTAATTTAATCAGTAATTATCTCCTCAACTCCTTCCAGACCATTCTTCCACTTTACTGTTATGATCACGTAATAACAACAAAACGGCTGCGTTGGTTTGGACATGTCAGTAGAATGCCTGAAGATCGGTTACCCGACTATCTACTTGAATCTTTGAATGGAAACCCAAGCATGGAAAGAGATCAAGAGGCAGGCCTAGGAGGAGCTTGAATGATGTATTTATTGAGGATGCTGAGCAGAGATTGGATCGGAATGGACTCACGATTGATTGTATGAAAAGATTAGCTGCAGACCGAAAGGGATGGAGAAATGTTACCCGCCGAAGTTGTATAATACAAAGTAATGACGCAGTCGACGCAGACTAATCCTTTGGACGGAGGTCTCGCCATGTAACATGTATGTAATGTACATGTAACATATTAACGGCCAGGCTCACCATATGAGCACCATAATATCTTCTTATATTCTGGGATAAACACAGTGTAGTAGCAATTCCCAGTACAACTGTAAAGTCACTGCAATTACTGTAAAGTCACTGCAATAACTGTAAAGTCACTGTAATTACTGTAAAGTCACTGCAATTACTGTAAAGTCACTGCAATAACTGTAAAGTCACGCTTTGCTATCATGACATAACTTGGATGTTCTAGAATTGATAGCTATGTCTTAGAGTTTGAGAAATTAGCTTGGAACAATAATATTAAATAACTGATTGTTCTTAGTACTACCACTATGTTTAATAAAGAATGCAACAAAAGGAAGGAATAAGAAATATTATAATTATAATAAATGGTCAGCTAACCTTTTGTTAAACAGTCAATTAGTTAACCGACGACCAATAATTATTGTAACACATAACACAAAGTAGTTACCATAGTTACACTACTAGTTACCATAGTAACACATAACACAAAGTAGCCTCTAATTATTGTTACACATAACACAAAGTAGCCTCTCAAAGATTCACGAATCTTACTTACTTTACACTGTAAAATATCTAACTCTCTTGATGAAAAGTTATGTACACCTTCGTATACAACTGGCCCAATTTGCATCCGCATTTAAATATTTATTTGTGCAGGTTAAACAATGCTCTTATTGCGTGATCAGCGCCCCAATTTTATAGTAAATGGAGATCGGAGAGATTTATTGAACATTAATAAACTAGTAAACTCAGTCTACTAAGTTAACCTCCCCTCGTAGAGCACAACATGTGCTCCTAGTGAAATTTGTTGATCAGTTTAAAGAAACTGTGCATGACCAGGCTAGTGAAATTTGTTGGCAGTTCAAAGAATCTGTGTGTGACCAGGCTTATCTTTTCGACTTTTCAATAATTTAATTTGTGTTTCGTCATGAAATTCAGAAAATTTGGGTTGTTCGTGCGAAAGATAAGTGCGGCTGATAGGAGTAGTATCACGTGATAATACTACTTCAATAGCACTAGTTGGCCCCTTGCCAAACCTGTGCCATCGTGATAATTCATTATCGTGTCTTAGTCTTGTAAATTTAACATTCTTTGGGTAAAGTTTTTTATTCGTGGCCCCCTCTTTCCAGCCTTGCGTTACCAGCCAGTTTTAGTCCCTTTAATCTAGAATGTGAGTACAAGGTTTTCAGTAGGAGTATGACCCTAAGTCGTGTGTAGGTCTCGTTTTAAGCCACTATTCCTTTAGTTGTAGTCTGCTTGAAGAAGCACGAGTCTCGTTTTAAGCCACTATTCCTTTAGTTGTAGCCTGCTTGAAGAAGCACGTGTCTCGTTTTAAGCCACTATTCCTTTAGTTGTAGCCTGCTTGAAGAAGCACGTGTCTCGTTTTAGGCCACTATTCCTTTAGTTGTAGTCTGCTTGAAGAAGCACGTGTCTCGTTTTAGGCCACTATTCCTTTAGTTGTAGTCTGCTTGAAGAAGCACGTGTCTCGTTTTAAGCCACTATTCCTTTAGTTGTAGCCTGCTTGAAGAAGCACGTGTCTCGTTTTAAGCCACTATTCCTTTAGTTGTAGCCTGCTTGAAGAATGAAGAAGCACGTGTCACTTTTTAAGCCACTATTCCTTTAGTTGTAGTCTGCTTGAAGAAGCACGTGTCTCGTTTTAAGCCACTATTCCTTTAGTTGTAGCCTGCTTGAAGAAGCAAGTGTCTCGTTTTAAGCCACTATTCCTTTAGTTGTAGTCTGCTTGAAGAAGCACGTGTCTCGTTTTAAGCCACTATTCCTTTAGTTGTAGCCTGCTTGAAGAAGCAAGTGTCTCGTTTTAAGCCACTATTCCTTTAGTTGTAGTCTGTTTGAAGAAGCACGTGTCTCGTTTTAAGCCACTATTCCTTTAGTTGTAGTCTGCTTGAAGAAGCACGTGTCTCGTTTTAAGCCACTATTCCTTTAGTTGTAGCCTGCTTGAAGAAGCAAGTGTCTCGTTTTAAGCCACTATTCCTTTAGTTGTAGTCTGCTTGAAGAAGCACGTGTCTCGTTTTAAGCCACTATTCCTTTAGTTGTAGCCTGCTTGAAGAAGCACGTGTCACTTTTTAAGCCACTATTCCTTTAGTTGTAGTCTGCTTGAAGAAGCACGTGTCTCGTTTTAAGCCACTATTCCTTTAGTTGTAGCCTGCTTGAAGAAGCAAGTGTCTCGTTTTAAGCCACTATTCCTTTAGTTGTAGTCTGCTTGAAGAAGCACGTGTCTCGTTTTAAGCCACTATTCCGTTATTTGTACTTTGTATTCTGCTTGAAGAAGCACGAGTCTCCCTGCTCCTCCGACTGATGACTGTTTAGTTCTTGTACTAGTTAATTTGTCTGCCAAAAGCTCCTAAAGTCAGGTTAGAAATAGGTTGTCCCCTTCTAAAGGTGGTATTTCTACAGGGAAGAGTTTGAACACATTGTCCAAGTTCCTAAAAGAGTACAACACAACTAATCAGTACGTTGTGACAGTCCTCCCCGACGAAATGAGACACGAGGTACACATGCCTCCTTTCTTACAGTGCGGCACTTACAGTCACAACTTACTGGTAATTACTTTATATCTCGGAGCTCAATATAACAGATATATCGTATCCAGATTTTTATGCTAAAATTTATTAACTCTGTTAAACATTTCCCCTCCACACTTAAATTTAAGCCTCTGTAATCTATCCAGGAGTTGAACCTGTGGATGGGATCAGGTGACACAGCTTCACAAGTACACTACGATGCTGACCACAATATACACTGTCTGCTTGCAGGTAATGTGTTCACGCACTGTAGTTATATATGACAATACTCACTTTCCAATCATTCCTCTTAACATAAAACAACTTTGTTTTATGACAATACTTACACGATTACACGATTTTTACACGATTAGAAAATTTATTAGTTATACTGGAATAATAACAATTTTAAAATTAAAAAAATACTCACTTTCCAATCATCCCTCTTAACATTTCCTCAATGTTTACCTTTTCAGGGAAGAAATCCTTCTTTATGATCCATCCTGACCAGTATCATAAGATGTATATGGAGCGATTAGAACACACTGGCTCTAATTACTGCCCCAATATAAACCAGGTGGGAATTATACCAGATATTTTGCATCTTTCTGTGCAAGCAGTGTATATTAGGCTATGTATTCTTAATATTCGTGGCACGCCCCCATTTCTTGCCCCCATAGAAACAAATAATGTTAGATTGTAAAATAAACCATCCTAAGGGTTTTTACTAAAATTGTGGCACAACTTGCCTCTATCAATAAAGCGTCTTATTACTTGCTCAATTATTGGTAAGTGATTTCCATCATAGTTGTTAATAGCTTAAGCAGACTAAGCTAGAGTAGGGTAGAAAATACTAGTAATAGCTCGATAATTAGCAAATGACGAGATGAGGGCCGTGTCACAAAAATCTTGAATACACCCCCTATTATATAATATCCATCCTCTCTGTGATTATTTGAAGACTCATATAACTAACTGCATGTGCGCGCAAACTCCAAATGACAATTTTGTTTACATCATTGCGCAACAAATACGCGCGGTTGCGCGCGCACATATTCATTATTCGAGTATATTATTGTGGCTCTTAAATTGTTTGGCTGGCATTATCAATTGAATACTAATATTCTCAAGATGTGTGTGTTCGTTCGCGTGTAATTTCCGAGCGGCTTAATCAAGAAACCGGTAAAAGGTTCCTGTAAGTGCTCGGCCATGGTTGTCCGAAGTAAAAGAAAAAGGGTGGTTTTCATAGATGACCCTGCTGCCTTGCAGCTAAACAACGTAAAGTAAGTATTAGATATGTGGGAGGCACCCAGAATAAAATTGTGGTCTGTTTGGAATGAGCCAGTTCAATAAAAAAAAAGTGATTTTGCATGACTTATTGTATATTCTGAACAACTCCAAAACAGAGGTACTGTTTCAGAACAGAGTGGATATGTTAGAACAAAGTAGCATTGCAGATGTAGATTACCAGTGGGACATGCTCTACCCAGGCGACTGTATCTTTATCCCCGCCCAATACACTCATCAGGTAAATTTCATTCTTTCTTCTTTGTGTCTGTAATTTTAACATGTAAGATCATGTCTCGCAAAAAACCGGAGAAAGGTTTGTTCAAAGTGACAATGTAGTATCTACCCAGGTCCGCTCTTACGGAAGAAGTTTATCAGTAACAATACTCTGGGTTACACTACTAGTTATCATAGTTACACTACTAGTTACCATAGTTACACTACTAATTACCCAGGTCCGCTCCTACGGAAGAAGTATATCAGTAACAATACTCTGGGACCCAACTGTGCAGTTTGACATCAGCAGTCTGGTTAACTGCCTCCCCAATAACCTGTCCTCTATTGCTGACAACCATGTGGTACGTTTATAGTTTCTAATTACAAAGGTTGATAGGGCTCATTCATTAAAGTTATTAAAGTTAGTTACTGTAACACCACATATTTTCGCGGGCACTTATTTTCGCGGGAACTTATTTTCGCGAATTTAAATGATTTAATGAAGAAATAAGCTGAAGGGGCTATATTATATTATTAAAAGAGCTCGTTAATACAATTAATAAATCTTGAAAAATGGAAATATTTGTTAATTTGGACTGTACCGAACTGATAATATGATAAACCAGTAATATGCTTAATGAAGCTATGAAGTAATGTTGACATCATTGTTAATGTTAGATCTTCTGATGATACTTGACGTTCTTTTAGGTACATGATGCATTCATTTTGATAAGTTTATAGCATGTTGAACTAAGACTAAGCGTTGTTGATGAGTTTACACATCAGTGACTGACAATGTACCTGAATGCTTTTTTCACTAATTCACTTTGTATGTCGTCATGGAATTTAGAAAATCCGGGTCGGTCGAAAGATAAGAAGGATAAAGTTAAAGTGTGGCCTGGTCAACTGTCACCCCCCCCCCCCCCCCCCCCTGTGGCCTTAATATCATTACTAGGTACATTTTACAACGAATAAGCAATATCTATGTTTTTAAAATGCAGGTTACAAATCTTTTAAAATCATGCAATAAAAATTATAGATATACAGTTTACAGTATAAAAATCAAAGCGAAAATCATAGCGGTATGATGAAAAACATTGTCATAAACAATATAAATAATTCACCCGTGCAAATGTGTGTACAATAGGTATAACTAGCAAAAGATTATATTCATCTTAAGTAACAGTCTTTTTTTGGTTCAGTACCCCGGCTGTGCTGATTCTGTCCTAGCGTGTTCTGTCTTACTGTTTAGTAGTAGAAGAGTTCAATAGCACCAAGGTAGTCCTTGATCCATTCTCCGAAGATGGTGTATTTTTGTCCAGCGTCGGTCAGTTTACCGCTCACACTTCGGCTGATATCAGCATCGAATCTGAAAGGAAATGACGTAAGAAGTCAATAAAATTTACCTTACTATGTAGTATGACAGTAAGATTTGCAGAGTAAGAAATCAATAAGGAATAAAAAGCAGAGAATCTTATATAAAGTTTAAACTCACTGGGGTCCCAGGAAGTAGGTGATAGAGTATCTATCAAAGTCAACTTCAGCAACTCTGTGTCTGACTGAGGGCACCTTGTTGTCGATAAGGTCATCTACCAGCTTTCCGATGTTGACGATGAAGGAGTTTTCTCCGGTCACAGGAACGGCTCGGTACTGGTTCTTGTAGAGCACCTAAAAGATTTCATCGTTTAAAAATTGAAAGAATTCTCGTTTAGTGGCTGAGAGTTATGAAAATATTAATTGACCTTTCATCTGGATCAAATTTTAAGGGGAGCACATTTCAAATTTTGCATTAGGATTTAAATTGTTACCTCAAGACCATCGTTGTTGAAGGTGGAGAGGACGGTGACGGTAGAGTCAATGTGTTCCAGTTCTCTCAGGAGAGTTCCGTCAAAGTCAGAGTACATGTTGCTGTTGATCCTTTGAGAAATGTATTGTCAGAAAGGATTGGTAAACAAGAGGTTATTTAAATTAAGGAAATAAAGGTAATTCTAAGGTTATTTAGGATTCAGAACGTGAGCGAATATACGTGACTCTAAAGTCTGACAATTCGGCTGATAGTACTGGACGAAGAAGAATGTGTCTTACTTTCTTCGGATGGGGTATTTCCTGAGTCCCATAGCAGAGAACTCGTCCTCAGAAAAGAGAGCGGGCAGGTTGGGGTACTCCATGGCTCGGGCAATGCTCCTGATGAAAGCTCTTCCGACGTTCCTCCTGATTTCGAATCCAGCCTGGAAGGTCTCCTTGAATACTTTGTCGAAGGTGCAGTTACCGGTCTCGGGCCATACGTTGGGTTCCTGGCAGTCGTATCTGAGTTTCTCGAGGATGTCGTCACTCTCGAAGCTTGCAGCTCGGGTCTCGTGGGGTCCAATGTTGTAGAGGTTCTTGTATTGGAGGGTGTTCTCAACATCGTCAAGTCCGGGGCAGTATCCTGGATATTGGTTATTTTAGCGCCATATTCAAGAATTGCATCACCTGTATTAGCAAAATTATAAATCTTAGATAATTTGTATGATAAATGAAAATTAATTAAATGATCACCTCGATAAGCATTCTTGTTGGCGGGGTTGTGTCTCCTGATAGCAATCTCGTCCTTGACATCCTCATCCAGATCGTAGAACTGCTTCATGATGTCCTGCTCAAGAGAAGCGCTGTACTCAGGGACATCCACAACGTAGAAGTATCCGTATTTCTTCATGGACTGGAGGAGGAAGGGGTCGATGTAGGAGTTGTCGTTGAGGAGGTCCAAGTATGGGATTCTGGCTACCCCATCGAACACACCCTCATTTTGTTCCGGTCACAGTCTGCAGGATTAATGATTGGTTATGATTGGTTCAAAACTGTTTGGAAAAAGTTAATCCTTGCAATTATAGGTTGCTGCTTAATGATTAATAATTAAGTATGTTTATCTTCGAAGTTATGTACTTACTTTTCCAAAAGGTCGGGAAGTAAAGCTGTTGCAGGAGCAACCAAAAGTAAAACCAGTGCGAACAGTTTCATAGCTATAATAAGATTTAGTAGGATTAAAGTCACTGCAAATTAGGAATTTAAGTACTTTAAATTAATTAATCAGCGAATATAATTGGGAGTTTTCCGGACTTAATTGGGAGCAACATTTCTAATAAATAATTTAAATGAACAATAAAACAGAAATATCAGCGTTTTATAATGCATTTCAATTGTATGGAAATAGTAGATAATCCTTAAATATAAAATGTATATGTGTACAAAGTTTTAGTTTAAAATAATCCTAGTCTTTACGGCAAAGAAAAAGTTTAGAAAATTTAAATTTCTCAATTTCTAAACAAAAATTCAGTCAAACATTTAGGTCCACTTATTTTAGAAGATGTCGTCATTTCATTCAAAAACCTTCGTTATGCCGAAGGTAATTGAATTCCTCATACCGTTTCAATCTAACCACGCTGAGAGTTCATCATCTCCTAAGGATTAAAGGCTGTCATAAAAAGTAATAAGGTTTTAATAACAGGACATTTGTAAACCTAAATAATAAATAATTCAAAGATTCTTAGCAAAACTTCGATGGGTCTTTACAGGATTTGAGGAGTTAGCAGTAAATGTATAGTTTTTGAGGATCTTACTGTTTAGTAGTAGAATAGTTCAATAGCACCAAGGTAGTCCTTGATCCATTCTCCGAAGATGGTGTATTTTTGTCCAGCGTCGGTCAGTTTACCGCTCACACTTCGGCTGATATCAGCATCGAATCTGAAAGGAAATGACGTAAGAAGTCAATGAAATTTACCTTACTATGTAGTATGACAGTAAGATTTGCAGAGTAAGAAATAAATAAGGAATAAAAAGCAGAGAATCTTAAAAACAAAGTTTAAACTCACTGGGGTCCCAGGAAGTAGGTGATAGAGTATCTATCAAAGTCAACTTCAGCAACTCTGTGTCTGACTGAGGGCACCTTGTTGTCGATCAGGTCATCTACCAGCTTTCCGATGTTGACGATGAAGGAGTTTTCTCCGGTCACGGGAACGGCTCGGTACTGGTTCTTGTAGAGCACCTAAAAGATTTCATCGTTTAAAAATTGAATGAATTTTCGTTTAGTGGCTGAGAGTTATGAAAATATTAATCGACCTTTCATCAATATCAAATTTTATAGAGCACATTTCAAATTTTGCATTAGGATTTAAATTGTTACCTCAAGACCATCGTTGTTGAAGGTGGAGAGGACGGTGACGGTAGAGTCAATGTGTTCCAGTTCTCTCAGGAGAGTTCCGTCAAAGTCAGAGTACATGTTGCTGTTGATCCTTTGAGAAATGTATTGTCAGAAAGGATTGGTAAACAAGAGGTTATTTAAATTAAGAAAATAAAGGTAATTCAAAGGTTATTTAAGGATTCATAACGTGAGCGAATATACTTGACTCTAAAGTCTGACAATTGGGCTGATAGTACTGGACGAAGAAGAATGTTTCTTACTTTCTTCGGATGGGGTATTTCCTGAGTCCCATAGCAGAGAACTCGTCCTCAGAAAAGAGAGCGGGCAGGTTGGGGTACTCCATGGCTCGGGCAATGCTCCTGATGAAAGCTCTTCCGACGTTCCTCCTGATTTCGAATCCAGCCTGGAAGGTCTCCTTGAATACTTTGTCGAAGGTGCAGTTACCGGTCTCGGGCCATACGTTGGGTTCCTGGCAGTCGTATCTGAGTTTCTCGAGGATGTCGTCACTCTCGAAGCTTGCAGCTCGGGTCTCGTGGGGTCCAATGTTGTAGAGGTTCTTGTATTGGAGGGTGTTCTCAACATCGTCAAGTCCGGGGCAGTATCCTGGATATTGGTTATTTTAGCGCCATATTCAAGAATTGCATCACCTATATTAGCAAAATTATAAATCTTAGATAATTTGTATGATAAATGAAAATTAATTAAATGATCACCTCGATAAGCGTTCTTGTTGGCGGGGTTGTGTCTCCTGATAGCAATCTCGTCCTTGACATCCTCATCCAGATCGTAGAACTGCTTCATGATGTCCTGCTCAAGAGAAGCGCTGTACTCAGGGACATCCACAACGTAGAAGTATCCGTATTTCTTCATGGACTGGAGGAGGAAGGGGTCGATGTAGGAGTTGTCGTTGAGGAGGTCCAAGTATGGGATTCTGGCTACCCCATCGAACACACCCTCATTTTGTTCCGGCCACAGTCTGCAGGAGTGATGATTGGTAATGATTCGTTAACTGTTTGGAAAAGGTTAATCCTTGCAATTATAGGTTGCTGCTTAATGATTAATAATTAAGTATGTTTATCTTCGAAGTTATGTACTTACTTTTCCAAAAGGTCGGGAAGTAAAGCCGTTGCAGGAGCAACCAAAAGTAAAACCAGTGCGAACAGTTTCATAGCTATAATAAGATTT